CCGGACATGTTCTCCGACCTAGTGAACTCAGACGCGCCGGCCACCACTGCGGCGCTCGTGCGCGAGGTGTGCGCGTTGCCGCCGACTGAGCAGCAGCAGCTGCTGGGTGGGTTGCTGGCGCTGGTAGAGCGGCGCCGCCTGCTGGGCGTGCTGGGCCGCGTGGCGCAGCAGTCTGCCGGCCACGCCCTGCGGCCCGACGACTGGCTGGCCGTGCTGCGTCTCTGGCGCCAGGCGGTGGACGATGTGCGCGAGCTCGAGTCGTTCCGCAGACTTCTGGAGCACGCCGGAGAGCTGGCTGATTCGCTCAGCGTCGGCGACGGCAACGTGACGCTGAACGTGTCGGCGCCCGTGTACCGCGCGATCCGTCTGCAGGGCGCCGTGTGCGGCATCGACTACACACGTCTGGCGCTGCCCAGCGGCCGGCAGCAGCGACTCGCGCCCATCAACGCTATCAGGGACAAGCTGCGCGAGGTGCCGGAGCAGGACTTCGCCAACGACACGTCCGTCTCAGACGAGTGCAACGACCTCTTCCACAGCCTGGACACCAACCTGATGACCAAGTTCTTCTGGCGCACGGTCAAGCCGTTCGTGCGTGGCAAGATCCTGTTCGCGCCGGCCACGCCCGCCACCAAGCGGCTCATGGCTCGCGTCAACACCACCTTCAATCCGCTGCGGCGTGTGCTCGAGTTCCTGCAGACGTGGCCGGAGCGCTCGGCCGAGTACCGGCGCCACGTGCTGGCCGTGGCGCAGCGGCTGCGGCGCGTGCAGGCCGTGCTGCGCCTGGCGCCCGGCGCCAACAGCCGGCTGGGCGCCCTGCCGCTGCCGCCGGCGCTCGCCGCGCTGCCCGCTCTGGCGGACGCCGAGAACCTGACGCTGGCCGACCTGACCGGCCGGCTGGCGCAGCTGATCGGGCCGGGCGCCGAGCAGCGCTGGACCGAGCTCTTCGACGCGGCGAACGAGGCGGCGCGCAACGCCAGCGTCTACCTGGCCTGCTTCGAGTTCGAGAAGTTTGAGGGCCTGCCGGACGAGGAGACGCTGGTGCGGCGCAGCAGCAACTTGACGGCCGAGAACATGCTCTGGGCTGGGCTGGTTATTCTGGACGTGGACGCCGACGCCGAGGAGCTACCCAGTTACGTGCGCTACAAGATCCGCATCGACGGCGACCGCGTGGACTCGACCAAGCGCGTGATGGATCAGCTGACCCGTCTGGGACCGCGGCTGTGGCCCTATCAGGACCTCAAGTACATTACGTACGGCTTTGCGTACATTCAGGACCTGCTGGAGCACAGCATCATAGAGGAGCTGACGGGTAGGGAGGTGAAGACGGGTGTCTACCTGCACCAGATGCCTTACCCGTGCTATATCGACGACCAGTTCGTACTCGCCATCTCCCGCACCTTCCCCATGTTCATGGTACTCGCCTGGGTGTACACCTCGGCGATGATCATCAAGTCGATCGTGTATGAGAAGGAGCAGCGGTTGAAGGAGGTGATGCGCATCCTCGGCCTTAGCAATGGCGTGCACTGGCTCGGATGGTTCCTGACCAGCTTCCTCTCGATGTTGGTTAGTGCTGTGCTCCTTACAATCGTGCTGGTGTACGGCAAGGTGCTGGAGAACTCGAACCCGCTCATTGTGTTTCTGTTCCTCCTGTGTTTCACCACGGCCACCATCATGTTAAGCTTCCTGCTATCCACCTTCTTTTCCAAGGCCAACCTGGCGGCGGCGGCCGGCGGGATCATGTACTTCATTTCCTACCTGCCGTACCCATTCATCATCATCTGGGACGAGTACTTGGACTACGGCCACAAGCTGCTCGCCAGCTTGCTCTCCAACGTGGCCTTCGGCCTGGGCTGCTCCTACTTCGCCCACTACGAGGAGCGCGGCATCGGCATCCAGTGGTCCACCATCGACAAGAGTCCCATCCTGGACGACGATTTCAGCCTGCTGCAGAGCATGATGGTGCTGCTGCTGGACAGCGTGCTGTACGGCCTGCTCACCTGGTACATCGAGGCCGTGTTCCCGGGCCAGTTCGGCATCCCACGACCCTGGTACTTCCCGTTCACGCGGGCCTACTGGTGCGGGGTCGAGCCGCACCCGATGGGCGACAAGGAGTCGGTGCCGCTGACCGACGGCGTCGGCAACGACAGGTTCGAGGCCGAGCCCACCAACCTGCCGCTGGGAGTGGCCGTCGAGCACATGCGCAAGGTCTACGCCAACGGCAAGGTGGCGGTGGAGGACCTGACCATCAACTTCTACGAGGGCCAAATCACCTCGTTCCTCGGCCACAACGGCGCCGGCAAGACGACCACCATCTCCATCCTGATCGGGCTCTTCCCACCCACCAAGGGCACGGCCAAGATCTACAACTTCGACATTCGCAGCGAGATGGATCAGATCCGCCAGAGCCTGGGCATCTGCCCGCAGTACAACACGCTCTTCGACGACATGACGGTGGCGGAGCACATCTGGTTCTACGCGCGGCTTAAGGGCCGCCTGCCGGCGGACGTCGAGGAGGAGAGCGACAAGATGGTCGAGGACCTCGGCCTGCCGCACAAGCGCGACGAGCTCTCCAAGAACCTGTCGGGCGGCATGCAGCGTAAGCTGTCGATCGCCGTGGCGTTCGTGGGCGGCTCGCGGACGGTGATATTGGACGAGCCGACGACGGGTGTCGACCCATACTCCCGCCGCTCCATATGGGAACTTCTGATGAAGTACAAGTCGGGCCGCACCATCATTCTGACCACGCACTTCATGGACGAGGCCGACATCCTGGGCGACCGGATTGCCATAATCTCGCAGGGCTCGCTGCAGTGCTGCGGCTCCAGCCTCTTCCTCAAGAGCCACTTTGGCTCGGGCTACTACCTGACGCTGGCGCGCTACATGGAAAGCCTGGTCACGCTGCGCATCAGCTCCGACACCGAGGTGCCCGACGCGCCGGCCGAGGCGCTTGGTGACCCGTCCAGGAGCGCCGAGACCGTGCATGGCGGAGAGCGCGCCCGCCGCCTCAGCAAGCACGACCAGGAGCAGATCACGCGCTTTATCCAGGAGCACGTGCGGCGCGCCTACCTGCTGGAGAACTTCGGCAGCGAGCTCACGTACGTGCTGCCGAACGAGGAGCACCTAGCCGAGCGGTTGGAGGTGCTGCTGGAGGCGCTGGACGACAACCTGGCGCGGCTGGGCGTCACCAGCTACGGCCTGTCGGACACCTCGCTGGAGGAGATCTTCCTGCGGCTAGCCGACGACGGCAGTCAGCTGAGTGAGCGCGTGATCAGCCAGCAGATCAGCAGCATCACCGATGGCGGCAAGTACCCGACGCGGCTGCGCGCCGGCGACCTGCGCCGCCACTCACTCTCGCTGCTTAATTCGCCGGCCGGCTCGCTGGAGCACGTGGCCGGCCGCCGCTCCGGCTCGCTCGACCCCGACGCGGGGCACGATTCGCCAGACGACGAGGCTGCCACGCCCGTCGCCAGCCCGGTGCCAGCGCGGCCGCGCCGCGCGTTGGCCACCGCCGCTGTCAAGAAGCGCGTGACGGCCGCGGCAGGTCACACCATGCCGCTGTGGACGCGCCACATCTGCGCGCTGCACGTGAAACGCTTCCACCACTGCCGCCGCAACGTGAAGGGCCTCTTCTGCGAGATCATCTTGCCGGCGTTCTTCGTGTGCTTGTCGATGCTGTTCACGCTCATACTGCCGCCGCTGGAGGAGGAGCCTGCGCTCGAGCTCTCGCCGTGGACCTACGAGCCGCCCTTCTACATCTTCTTCTCCAACGACCACCTGCTGTCTCCGCTGGCGCTGCGCTACGAGAACGAGCTGATCGGCTTCCCGGGCGTCAGCACCAAGTGCGTCAAGGGCAACCTGACGTGCGGCAACCCGCCAGCGCGCGCCCAGTTCTACTCGCCGGCGCCGGGCGCGGTGCAGACGCAGCCGTGCTCGTGCGCCACGGGCAGCATGGAGTGTCCGTCGGGCGCGACGGGCCCGCCGCCGGCGGAGGCCCGCGGCGCCGGCGGCGACCTGCTGCTCAACGTCACCGACCGCAACGTCAGCGACTGGCTGGTGAAGACTCGGCCCGAGTTCTACAAGCGGCGTTGGGGCGGCTTCACCTTCGGCTATAACAACCCGTTCGCCGACGTCAACTTCAGCCTGTACCGTGACGGCATGCGGCGGCTGAGCGACGCGCTGCTACGCGGCAGCACGCCTCTGAACTGGACGGCGGACGCGGCGCTGAACGCCTCCGACGCGGCACTAAACGTCTCCGACGCGTGGGCGTCGGACTGGAGCGTCGACTCGCCGCTCAACTGGACCGACGACGCGTTCAACAAGCTGGAGGACTTTGTGCGCAACTCGGAGGTGTTCGACAACGTCAAGGTGTGGTACAACAACAAGGGCTGGGCCTCGTCGGTCGCCTACATGAACGCCTTCAACAACATGCTGCTCCGCTCGCGCTTCAACTCGTCGGCGAAACGGATGTACGGCATCGAGGCCATCAACCACCCGCTGAACTTCACGCGCGGACAGATGCGCCGCGAGCTCAACAAACAGTCGGGCATCAGCCTGCTCCACGCCATCTGCGTCATCTTCGCGCTCAGCTTCGTCCCCGCCTCCTTCACGCTCTTCCTGATCGAGGAGCGCCAGTGCAAGGCCAAGCACCTGCAGTTCGTGTCGGGCGTACGGCCGGTGGTGTATTGGGCGGCCGAGTACATGTGGGACGTGACCAACTACCTGGTCCCGGCCGGGCTGTGCGTCATCATCTTCTTGGCGTTCGGCGAAGAGGCGTACGTGTCGGAGGAGAACCTGCCGGGCCTGCTCCTGCTGCTGGTGCTCTACGGCTGGTCCAGCATTCCGCTCATGTACCCGGCCAGCTTCGTGTTCACCGTGCCGGCCTCGGCGTTCGTCACGCTCGCCTGTGCCAACCTCTTCATCGGCATCGTCACCACCATCGCCACCTTTGTGCTGGAGATCCTCAACGATGACGAGCTGCAGATGATCGCCGACATCCTGAAGCGCGTGTTTCTGGTGTTTCCGCACTACTGCCTCGGGCGGGGACTGATGGACATGGCGGCTAACCAACTGCGCTCGGAGACGCTGGCCACGTTCGGCCTGACCGCCCAGCGCGACATCTTCGAGTGGGATTTCCTGGGGCGAAACCTCTTGTGCATGCTGATCCAGGGCGTGCTGGCGTTCCTGCTGACGCTGCTGATAGAGTACCGGCCCGGCTGCCGGCGTCGTCAGCTGATGGGGCTGACCGGTGGCGTCACCGACGACATGGATGAGGACGTGTTCCGCGAGCGGCAGCGCGTGCTCAGTGGACGCGCCGACAAGGACATCCTGCGCCTCTTCAACCTGACCAAGGTGTACAAGAAGGGCCGGCTGCCGGCCGTCAACCACCTGTGCCTGGGCGTGCGCAAGGGCGAGTGCTTCGGTCTGCTAGGCGTCAACGGCGCCGGCAAGACGTCCACCTTCAAGATGCTGACGGGCGACACGACCATCAACCACGGCGACGCCTTCATCTGCGGCCACAGCGTCATCGACGAGCCGATCCGCGTGCGCCAGAAGCTGGGCTACTGCCCGCAGTTCGACGCGCTGGACGCCATGCTGACAGGCCGCGAGCACATCGAGTTTTACGCGCGGCTGCGCGGCGTGCCGGACGCCCAGCTGGCGCAGGTGGTGGAGACCAACATCCGGCGGCTGGGCCTGACGCCGCACGCCGACCGCACGGCCGGCAGCTACTCGGGCGGCAACAAGCGCAAGCTGTCGACGGCGATCGCGCTGATCGGCGACCCGCCGCTCGTCTTCCTGGACGAGCCGACCAGCGGCATGGACCCGAAGGCGCGCCGCCTGCTCTGGACGTGCGTGACGGATGTCGTGCGCTCCGGCTGTTCGGTGGTGCTCACCTCCCACAGCATGGAGGAGTGCGAAGCGCTGTGCACGCGCCTCGCCATCATGGTGAACGGCCAGTTCAAGTGCCTGGGCAGCCTGCAGCACCTGAAGAGCCGCTTCGGTGACGGCTACACGGTGACGCTGCGCGCGCACCCGGGCCAAATGGCGGCCGTCGAGGACCGGCTGGTGGCCAGCATGCCGCAGGGGGAGGTGCGCGAGAAGCACCACGCGCAGATCTCGTACCAGCTGCCGTCGTGTGACCTGCAGCTGTCGGCCGTGTTCCGGTTACTGGAGGGCATGCGCTCCGAACGCCTGGTGGAGGACTACTCGCTGAACCAGACCACGCTGGACGAGGTGTTCGTCAGGTGAGTGACGTCAGCTCCCCCGTGAGTGACGTCAGCTCGAGAAGCCGATGGCGATGTGGCGGCCCACACGGCCGCGTTTTGCTTCGAACTTTCGATTCTGCTCCATCAGCGAGCCGTCTAAGGCGGATGTCCGTTGTTACTCCAAACAGGCGGGGTTTGAAACCGGTTCTGATTGGCACTGTTCAAACATGGATGAACTTGCTCTCCATTGAATTAGTTCAAGCAAGGTCATGGGGTCTGCGAATGCGTCAGGCTGCAACGTTAAAAAGTGACTCAAACTACAGGTTATTTCATCTCAAACATCTCAGATGTACATATTTATAAGTACGTTTATGCATATATATTTACGTATATATATATATATATATATATATATACTAGACTTTTGAGTACTTCGACGTCTTTGTTTTTTAGTCAGTGCTTAACTTAGCTCTGCTCTGCTCTGCTTTGCTCTGTTTAGCAAAACGCCTCCATAACGTCCCCCTGGACACGCACGCCATTTTCCCAATTCCGTGATGACCCAGACAGGCTCATGTATTGAAAATGACGTGTTTGGCCGCTGAGTTGGGGGCGGCGACCCTCATCTCCAGTTCCCAGATCACAATGATCGTGTGAAAGACACCAAGCAAATGTCAAAGGATTTTTAATAATGCTCGCAAGATGGTATGCTTGTAAGGTGCTTGATTTGTTCTTAGCATCCTTGCTTGCACTTCTAAATGTGACATGATAAGTTGACTTGCACTTAAAATGGAGCACTCTATAATGTGGCAACGGGTGACGCGGTACACAGCCGGCTTTCTGTTGAAAGGAATCGGCAATTAACTATTCCGAGTTAGAGAACATCACTGTGTTGCATATACACTGTACAGGTAATCTGAGGAGATTCACGATTGGGTACCTGGCGAGCAAAAATGATTGTATTGTGCATACTAAGACGTGCTTCCACGCGGCGTCTCCGCGGCCGGCTGCGTGGGATGACGTCACCGGCGGCCCGTGACCAGCACCATCATCCGCAGGTTCGCCGGCGAGCAGACGGAGATGCTGGAAGACGAGGTGGCGGGCAGTCGAATGAGCCTCAACGACCAGTCGATGCGACGTTTCCGCGGTCCGAAGAAGGTGCGCTTCCCGGCGAAGCAGGGCGCAGCGCGCTCCGCCGAGAGTCGGTCTCAGAACGGCGCCTCCGATGTGCCGCTGGCGTCCCCGCTGGCGGCTGACGCCAGCGACGTGCACCTCACGGATACCACCGTCGTGTAACGCCCGCCCGCTGACGTCAGAATGGCCTCACACCTGTCACCGACACCTCATCGTGCAGCGCCGCGCCCGCTCGCTGACGTTGGAACGACGTCACACGTGTCACCGACACCCCATCGTGCGGCGCCGCGCTCTCTCGCTGACGTCAGATCGACGTCACATGTCACCGACATCCCATCGTGCGGCGCTGCACCCGCTCGCTGACGTCGGAACGATGTCACATATGTCACCGATACTCCGTCGTACGGCGCTGCGCCTGCCCGATGACGGCAGAATGACGTCACCCAAGCAAACGTCTTGCGAGAGGTTGCCGGACGTTATCGGTATGGGCTGCGCTCACGTCTGTGATGCGTTGTGTCGAAGGCGTCCGTCAGCTGTCCCCGAGGTCGTGGTGGGGCTGCCTCTCTCGTGGCGGTGGCACCACTTCTCTCGTCGCGGTGGCGCTGCCTCTCTCGTCGCAGTGGCGCTGCCTTTCTCGTCGTGGTGGCGCTGCCTCTCTCGTCGCGGTGGCGCTGCCTCTCTCACCGCGGTAGCCACACAGCGGGACGCGCGGGCTGACCGCTCCGCCGCGCGCTAAGGCTCGTGCCGCGCTCCAGGGGTCCCGCGTCCCCGCCATTATCCGTCCGCCGGGTCGCGCCGCTCGGCTCCGCGTCCAGCCGGACGGCCGTCCGCTAGTTCCCAGTCGGCCGCTGCTGGCGCCACCATCGCTGGCCCTCCGGCTGACGCCACCGTACCATCCCCGGCCGAACTGCCCAGCATTTCGGGGGTTACCCTAGCCAACCTCGTTCCTCTATTTTATGTGTTAGCAGTTGCTATATTATTTTACGTTACTGTTGGTGTTTGCATGGTGTTGACTCCTGTTGTTACTCACAGTGACGATCTTATGATAATCTCCTGTATACCCATGGGATGCTAGACCAAAGAACAAAACGTAGATCTGCTCTGCGACTTTATGGACTGCAGAATGGTGATTCGGTGCTGTCATACTCTAGTGGCTAGCGTAAGAAGTTCGTATGTGCCTGTGTTCAGTACTAATGTCTTGCATGCACGTGAATTTTTTAGCATGAGTATATGACTGTTGTCTTAATTCGGTCTCTTTGGAGCCAGTTCTTTCGCCCCAGTTCACTCAACGCCCCAGGGTGAGCACTGGAAGTCAAGAGCGAATGCTGCGGTGACGGAAAGAATGCGAACAGTGGTGCTGAGTGGTCAGAAATGAGCGGCCAGAATTATGAACCTTAATCTTTACGTCCGATCGGTCATGAAAATCAGTGGTCTCCTGTTGGACACCTTAACTTCTCCCTTCTAATACGGATAATTGGGGTGGCACATATGAGCATGGGGAGTTTCGAAATGAACATGGCTGAGCTGCACCTGGTGGTGCCAGCGGGGACGTGGCAATTGCGGCCAACGTAGCGCAAAACTCATAGAATCTGTCGATACACGAGGGCATATTTGTGCAGCTGATTTGCGTTTTAATGTCCCGTGCCACTCATTTCAAGGCAAGATGTCTTCTTACCCGGGATTGAAACGAATGAGCAGTGACGGCGTACCCAGATTTTGCATGGGGGACAGGGCAATTCGATTTGGATGGCCTTCGATCTCCCAAAACCTCCCAATTCTAACGAGCCTGTATCGCATTAAAATTGATGAAACATGTGGAAGAGCTATCCTGCTAAAGGCGGCACCTCAGGCATTTTAGAGCGTTTTCTTGCGGACGTACCCTGTGCTAAGAGTCCGATCTTGGAATTGAGCTGCCGTCCTAGTGCTTGGCCATTTCGCGCTTCAAACGGCGTCGGGGACTGCGACGTCGATTACCAGCGATATTACACACTTTTTACCAGATCCCTACGCCATGACCTGTATCAAATGCTGCCGCCTACCAGCAAGACGCTTTTTACGGCGCAGGAACAGCGAGGTGGTCATAGTCGTGACTGTTATCACCATGAAGATGGTACGGATGTGAACAAAGAGCATAAGCTCAACTCACAAGACGTTCAGCCCGGAGCTGCTTGTTTCTGCCTGTACTCGGTGATCACTTGAATAAGTGCACATCCCTCACGGCGGGCAAAGTAACGTCCGCCAGTCTCACAGTGGCTTCGTGGTACGTCCAGCCCATTCCGACGAATGCGTCGCAACAGGAGAACAACTGCTGTCCGCAGAAGAAAGGAAGCAAAACCGGCTCCCGGATCGGTAGCGTCTCGGCCGGCCAGTGGGGGCGCGAGGCTGGCGTGAACAACCGTCTGTATGGGCTCAGCCTGGCGCTCCGCTGGAACCAATGCCGACTGGGAGCGCGCTGTCACCATTCAGCCGACAGTGAAATGCTATCATCCGGACTGCGGCCGCCTTCGCCCTCGCCTTGTTCATCTTGAACCAAGGATTGTGTGGCGATTGTGATCACAGGCGGGGAGGAAGGGCCGCTTGGAGATAACTTCGCCAAGCTTTGCAGTGACAATGGGGAGAGGGCGAGGGGGGGGGGGGGCGAGCTCCCATTGCTGAGCGGGGTTCAGAGAGTTGGCCGCGACCTATGTTATAGACGGCAGAGGCTCGATATAGCCACGGCAGCGCTGTCCGGTAAACTCAGTTGGGCGCTATAAACATAAACAAAGTGGAGAGACACGGCCAAGTAGCGTTGACACTGGCATCGACAAGCACCAAGCACGCACCGTCGGCGCGATCCGAGAGCGAGCGGCACGCTTCAGGTCACGGCATAGCCTAATCAATTGGTCACCGGCTGAGTCGTGCAGCCAAGGCCGTCTTTGTTCCAGTTCCTCGCACATGCCAGCATAGCAACCGTGACGGATGCACTGCGCTGAGGACTGCAGCTCCAGGGGGCTCGCGCTCGGCGTAACGGCACGGGATTGGCCGGGCTGCTGAGCGGTGAGACGTACCGGCTGTTACGACAGATGCCTGGTGACGGCGTCCTGATCGGTGTCCAAACAGCAGCTGGCTAAAAACGGCGCTGACGTCTCCAACGGGATATGACAGTTTTGCAGACACTCGGGAATATGCTGCAGCGCACCGTTGAAAAAGCGACGGTTCATGTGGCGCAGGTGGTTACTTTACTGATGAGGTCGGATCAAATGGTCTAACTTCAGTGGCCTGGGAACGGAAGGGGAGGGGCGGAGGAGGCCTAGCCCTAAATTTGTATTGACCCTATGGGTGTTGACTGGAAAGAGACGACCAAAAAAGCCTATCATTCCACTAATCCAACCATAAAAGGGCCTCCATTGTTCCTTTTTTTTGTTTCCCTTGACTAGTTCTAATATTTCATGCTTTGCCCTTGAATGCGGTTGAACATACAACACACACACGCACACACACACACACACACACACACACACACACACACACACACACACACACACACACGCGCGCACGCGCGCACGCACGCACGCACGCACGCACGCACGCACGCACGCACGCACGCACGCACGCACGCACGCACGCACGCACACACACACACACACACACACACACACACACACACACACACACACACACACACACACACACACACACACACACACACACACACACGCAACGCAGACGCATTCTTTCGAAACGTTCATGTAGCGCTGCTACCTGGAATGATAAAAAACTTCATACCGGTCTTATTCAGTATTGACCCGTCTGAAACAATATACGTCGTCAATAGCCTGACCCGGCGAAGATGTTGAATAGCCTCATGGTCATTGAAGGCACGGGATTTAGTCATGATACTAATAATAACCTGTTCAAATACCACAAACTTTGGAAACACAATATTCTGCAATATCGTGTGCACCGCATCTAAGCAATCAATTCCCGGTGGTAGTGATCATGGCAACAAAGAGGTGATCGTTGGCGCGATCACGAGTGCTGGACACGTGACGTCTCCTGCAGTAACGTGACAGCACCATGGCATCAAATAACACCGCACTTATGTATTTACGATAGTGTGCTAGGTAGTATACCTCTATGGTTGTAATATTTAAAAAAAAAGAAACTCCCTATTGACTGTGTCAGCTGAAAGCCCTATGCTGTCAATGGAAAATATTTGTCTGTGGTCAAAGATACGAGTGATTAGGCTTATGAGTACATTCTCAAGAAACTGCATTTAAAACAAAATCGAATGACAAGTTTTTTCCGGCCCACTGGGCTAGGGATAGGCCATGGCTGGGCTGTCGAAAAATGGTCATAACCAGGACAAGGAGTAATGGATGCATGTTGAAATCTAGGTTCATTCGAATTTGACCTGAAATGGCCCCTGGACTGCCCACACTACACTAGTCATATGTTTCTGATGCACTGAGATTTACCAAGGCTAGCAAGTTGAGGTTAGCGACTTGATGAGATTAGCCAAGAGTTGCCGCGGAAAGCGCAGCATATGTATGGGAGTCGGGGCGAAAGAAAGCAGCGAAGTAATCCACACGCGTTGCATTGTTTCAGTGAGAGCTGCTAATGCTCTGGAATCAAGCAAGAACTTAGTGGTTGAAACCAGGAAGAGATGTGGATCAAGATGAAAGTGCCGCACGTCAGGTGTAGCACCGGATACACCAATCGTGACATAAATCATCGTATTTTGGCATTACAGCATTGGAAGGCGCTTATTCCGAGCACTTAGTGGTTGAAACCCAGGAAGAGATGTGGATCAAGATGAAAGTGCCGCACATCAGGTGTAGCGCCGGATACACCAATCGTGACATAAATTATCATATTTTGGCATTACAGCATTGGAAGGCGCTTATTCCGAAAGTTCGTTCCACGCGAACTTTGTCCTTCGTTCGTTGGTGCTGAACACTGGTTTACGGGGTCTGTTTTAGCTCTCTGAAGTCCTTTCAGTGGTGTTTTTCATTGACGTGTGCAGGATTTATTGGCGTATGTGTCCGGTATAAACTGAAGCATCGTCGCAAATATCATTAACTCGGCCTTTGACGACCTGTCTCTGAATCTTTTGGAACAAATGAGTTGATCAGGCTGATCGAAACGAGGAAGATACACACGGATCGTACCACCCCGACACGTACCGAATTGTTCTCTACCTGCCAGGCCGAAGGTCACGGTTTTTCGGAGGCCCAATATCATGTGTAGAACGAAACGCGACGCTAATTTATGGGCTTCATCTTGAACAGGTCAGGTCATGTTGAGAGTGAATACACCGTCCCTGATGTCTTCAGAGCGCGGTCGCTTCTTATCATCGATTCGCCTCATGTTAACGTGATCTTGAAAGGCATGCTGTTTTTGTTGACGTTCTGTGGTTTCGTGATGCAAATTATGGCTCATGAGTAAGATTTGATCATGATGTAGTCGTCAAAACAAGACATCTACACGAATAATTTCTTAGTCAGGTCGACATGGCATACAGCATTACCTGACCCTCTCAATAAATCATCGCAATCTTATGATACAGGCCAGCACCCACAAACCATCCACGGCACCGACAGGCCACGGATCTGCAACCTTAGCCACCCACCTAACCGCCGTGCAGACAACATTTAACAGGTTCGAAAGACACCTGTAGCATATTGCTGTCCAACTGGTGATACCTTGGCCTGACCTTGCACGAAACCGACTCCAATTTCTTAACACAAATTGCCTTCAATATTTGTTAACAGGCCCTGAACCAGAAGCCTAGTTTTGCGAAATGATGCTGAGGGAGGAGTGAGGGGACTGAGGAGCTGAAAAATGAGGAAA